TATAATATACATTTTTTAAAATGCTAGAAAATCTGTGATCCTCTCCATTTAGAAATGAACACTTATCTCAGTTTAATGTAGTATTTTCTAGCCCTTTTCCTATGCTTTAAAAAATGAAATTGAGATCACACATTTAAATAAGTATATGGAAGAGTAGATGGTGAAAGAGGAAGTCTAGAATAGCCACATGCTCAAGAAGGTAATATGGTCCTTTGTAGAAGAAATGTGGCAGTGGACTCACCTTTACCGTCTGCCTATTGCCCTCTCCTGCAGCTGGGAGATAACCGAGCACCAGGTGCTGGCCGGGTGGTGATTCAGAAGCCTGAGATGCTCTGCCTGAGGACAGCTTTTCCCAAGGGTTCTCCTTTCCCTTCACATTCTGGTAGAGATGAAACCATTTCGGATCTGCTTCATGGAAATGAAATTTCTTTTTGTTTGCTTGTTTCATTTTGTTTTTAAGATAAATGTATACTTAATTTTTATAAACCTTTGATAACCACCAGTTGGATTCCCAGCAGCTTTAGAAAGCTGTCAAGTTTAAAGCAGGTTATAACCTGTCTCATTTTAGCCTTCCTTTTGTCGCTAAACCACAGAAGTTAGAGTCCAAGCTGTTCTTCCGCCTTTCTGCAGATGGTGTAGCATTTGTCAATATTAAATTTAATTTGTGCTGAGAGGAGTTCACTAACAATGAAAACACAAAGCTTGCTGAACTTCACTTCACCTGTGTGCTCAGTACAGCCAGGATTACCAAACCTAATGAATCCAGCAATATTATCCTACCGAAATCTAGGTCAGCTCTGTTGATTAAAAATATTATAGATTTAAGAACTAACCCTATAAAAATCCAGTTAAAATTTTACTATATCAAAACATACTACGTTTCTTGTACTTTTAAAATAGAAGGATGTGTTTATACCCAATTATCAATCCCATGGGTCAAAGTTAAGAGGTCATCATGAACAACAGACATTTATTGAGCGCCTATTGTGTGCAAGGCACTATACTAGGTATTGGCTACAGAGACAAAGGAGGAAGAGTCTCTGCCCTCAAGGAGCTTACAGTCTAATTAGACTAACAGGATACATACACAAAAAGACAAATGACGATTTAAGGTAGTATATAATATTAGGGCACTGAGTAGAAAGAAACAGGGTTTCAGCCTTTTTACATTTGCATTTTAATACCCTGAGAAGATGGGATGAGTGACCTAGAAAAGAGGGGTTGCATTTGTTCATTTTTAAGCCTTGAGACACTCTCACCGCTTTCCATTCCAAAGTACCTTCTGATATGTGCTAACACCTAGACAATGGGTCCACACATTCTGCCCCCCCAGGACTTATTGTTATAAATCTCTTTGAGGTGGCCTTCTGATAGGGTGACCTACTGTCCTGGTGCCCAGGGCTGCCCTGCTTTTAGCATTGAAGTCTGTGCCTTGGAGTCCTCTCTTCTTCCCTCCCCATCTGGCTCTGGGTAAACCAGGATGGTACTTCTGAAGTACCTTGCCTGGTAGCCAGATGTACTCCCACCTACCGTGGTCAGTACTCCGGCAGGACCTACTGCAAATCTGCTCCCTAGATAGACCTTTAGTTTAAAAACCTACAAGGAAGACCTTAACAGCCCCAAAGACTGCTGGTTTAAGAGCACACTGTAGACAAAATAAGACAGTCGGGAGAAAATGACAGCAAAGAGACACAGTGAGGTTTCAAGAGAGAAGCAATGAGAATGGAAGAAATGATTGGGTCAGCTATAAAACATGAGGAGTGTTAACATCACCTCCTAACACTGCAGAGACAGAATAGGAACACAGACCCTTCCCTCAGAGTAGGTTTATTGAACAATTCAAAGCATCACCCTGGTGGAATCCAGGGTATATTTCTGAAATGAGGTTGGTCTTACACAGGGGCAAATATTTAGGCAGCTACTGAATGGATGCATATGTCTTTAAATAATACTATCTTAATCCTAACAGAATTTCAACTTTCTTCTATTTTTACTTAGCATTAATTATCTTCTAAGTCGATAATTTTAAGTTTTGAGGGGAGTTTTTATTTCAAAATGAGATTACTTCCCTCCATTCTCGTGTAATTCAAATAGATCAGTAATGGAGAGAACTTCAGAAAACAAAGGATACACAAATCCGTGAGGGACCACACAGACCTCTCTTTTAGGTACAGTACTTTGTGTTTTGCTTTCATTTATTATTTTTTTTAAAAGAAAAGATCTTACTCTGAAATCTGATGACCTCAGAAGTCCCTGAATTGCTCAGGTTTTATGTGTAGCCCTTAGGAGTACACACCAGGCTTAGCGAAGCACAGGAACTTAGTTGCCAAAGGCCCATTAACGGTAATGGAAATCACACAGCTAAGTCCCCACACAGTATGCTGAATATTTACCTCCTAATGTTCTTTTAATGTATGTTTTCTTGGGTGAATATTTACTGTAGAATATTAAATCCGAGATTCCTCTTTTTATGGGCCATTTGAAGTGATTGATTTTGTTTGCAAATTCCTGTCTCTTTGCCCGTAATGGCTATCTATTGTAATGGCCTCTGCCAAATGTTCTTGTGTTGAAATAACAGAAGCCATGGATCGGCCAGCTGTGGCATTGTATTACTGTGGTCTTAAAAGCTACGAGGAAGCTGATGACACAGCTGGGAGAGAAGAAAAAGGTATGTAACATAACAAGTATGACTTAGGCTTCAGACACAATCAGATACTGAAATCACTGAGGTCTATAAACATGGTTCTGTAGTCATCTTTTATATCAGAGTTTATATTTAATGGTATTGAATGGTGTTAAGACTGACATCATGAAATGATAGTGGCAAGACAAGAATTCAATTGCCCACAACCAGGTTTATCAGCACAATCTATCAGATTTCTAGTCATTTTCTTTAATGCTGTAATAAAACCACTTTGTAAGTGGTAATTTTTTACACTTATTTACACCACATTTTTAAAAAATATGAAATCACATATCCTAGCTACATGTAGATTTAAAACATTTCCCAGTGAAGCCAGGATTTTCAGAATTTGGTTTCTTTTCATTCTTTTGAGTATTTGAGAGGGAGAAGTTACAAACAAGATGGAGTAACCATGATGGCTTTTTTTTTTTTTAAGAAAATCTAAAATCAGATGATACACAAACATGTGAGATATTATTAGATGAGGCAATAAAAGTACATTCCTGCATGTCTAAACTATTCCTTTCCAAATTTTCATAAATATAGAAGTTGTCAGAGGAGCCACTTACGTTTGAGGAACATAATCTCTTCAAGTGATTATAAAGGTGGCCTATAAGTAAACTATATACAATTAATATACTGTTCATATGTTGATAAAACATGATGTGTTCAGAGTCCATACTGTAGAGGACAATGTGCTGAAATGAAATTCATAGCCCCTTTAAAAACTATGAGAAAACTTAAAGAACGTATTACAGTATGTTTGGGACAGCCATTTCAATCCTACTGGCTTTTAACAGCCCACGCCACACACAACAGTACCGACTTTGTTTTTGCTATGTGAGTATCCTGATGGTGTTTGCATTTTAACAACAATATTTCATATAATTAGTAGTACTAGTTAGTGTAAGGAAGTGAAATCTTATTACTAATTAAGAAAAGGGAAGAGAAGTGGTAATGGCCAGGTCATGTCTGTAAAACAATGTCAGTCTTCATACATAATATTGACTGGTGCCTTCAAATTTGGCATTAGAGAACCTAATGCCTTCTAAGTAATGTGTAAAGAAAACACTAGTATATCTATAAGAATATTGCTTGTTTAAATAAAAATCTATAATACAAATTTATCTTGGCTCTGAATAAAGTAAGTCCTTTATACTCCTTCAGACCAGAGAATGGTAATGCATATAATCTAAGAAGATATGTAGTGAGTCTAAACAGCTCATAGGATAAATGAATTGAATGATAGGGCATATCCTTGTAGTCTCTTTTCTTCACAAAAAGGCAGTTCTTTGCTCTTGTAGCCAGGGAACCCCTTGGCAGTATGTCTTTTGTGTGTGTGTGTGTGTGTAGCCTGTGTTGGTGTGTTGAGGGGCCAGGGAAGAGGTGGATGGTGATGCTTCGAGGGAAGCAGAGGGTAGATTTTAGCCCATGCGGACTCAGGAAGAAGAGAATTTTTAACCACAAGAGTGAGAAAAGTAATATGAATGTCGATAAGGCCCCCCAAATAAGGTTCCTGCTACTGTTGGCGCCCTATCACTCCAAGTGCAGAGTCTTCAAATGGGTCAACAAGGGGCCAGAAGTTTAGATTTGGGATGAAACCTAAGAGGTCATCTGGTACACCGACATCACTCTGCCGAAGAGGAAACTACGGCCCAAGAGGGGATACTTACATAAATCATTACTAAAGAAAACTATCTTTAAATTTCTCTTGTTAGCTTTCTTTTTGTTTTAGTAACAGAATTTTTGGTTTTCAATTTTGTCCTTTTGGAACATTTCTGCACATTGGAAAATGTTATCTCTATTCTTTCTATAAAAGAGCAGTTTTTCTGAAGCCTAGGGATTCAAAAAATACAACACAACATTTCCAAGTCAAATACCAACTGCATGCTAACAATGAGCATTGTGAACAGAGTAACTCGTCTACCCAATTCTAGGTCATTTCCAACCATCATTCAGGATTAAAGAGTTAGAAAGGATAAATTACCACATAATCATAATCTATAAAAATACTGGCCTAGATTGCACTAAAAAACTCTCAATAAATAAATATTGGACATTTGCTTTATGAAAGTCAGTGAAGATGTGCTCTTCAGAAATAGTCCATAGTTTCAGGCTGCATTTTACAAATCACACACACACAGTCTAACAGATGACAAAGGTTATAGATCAGGAAAGAATACAACTTGATAGAAAAATGTATTTGACACGGTATTTCTTTCTTTCTTTCTTTTTTTTTTTTTTAAAGACCGGGTTTCGCCATGTTGGTCAGGCTGGTCTTGAACTCCTGACCTCAGGTGATCCGCCCGCCTTGGCCTCCAAAGTGCTTGGATTACAGACGTGAGCCACCACGCCCGGCCGACACGGTATTTCTATAAAGGAATGCAACTAATATTATTGAGTTGCTTACGTTGCGGTTTCAAAGGCAATACTAAGAAATTCAAAATGTTTTTAGCCATAGTGCTATAACTGAATTGAGTGTTCAGCTCCTAAGGTAACACCACGGAAAGGGACAACACTCATTAGGATGCGTTACTTCTGGAATTTTTCCTTGCAATCCAACCGCACTGCTTTGTTACTTCTGGCAGGCATCTGTCCATGGTACTTCCTGAGGAGTGAAGCTGTTTTCTGCTGCCAGTTCTGTTACCCTTTCCTGTCTCGTGGCTCAGGAAGTTCAGCGTCTCAGGGTTTGATGCAGTGAATACTGGTATTATAGTCTGGCACGTTCATTCCTTAGAACACAGGTTTATTCTCCGGATGATTTATAGCAAGTGATTCTGGTTTCCAGTCTGGTTGAAAAAAGTGAATATTGAATGTCCGGGCCCAGTTCTTAAAGACTCGTTTCTCTGTGATAAAGCGGTGATGACTGCCCTTGCGTCCTCGTTCATGGGAGAGGTACATCGTACATTCATCAGGTCCAAAAGGTTCATAATAATGATAAGGTACTGAAGGGTGATTGGGATCCCTGTAGGAGGAAATTGAGACAGCTGATTAAAGCAAAAAAAAATTTCCCTTTAACTGATTGAAGTAAGATGTTATCTTAAATAAGTTGATAAACATAAAGTGTATTTTCTAGTTAAATGAGCTTTAGCAAATGGTTTTTCTGATTACACGATAAGGAAGTGGAGAGGTTTTGAGGTTGTGAAATAAAATCAGTGGCCATCGTTTTCATCAAAGAGATTGAAAATGAGCTGCAGAATGTTCAGTCTCCCCAGATTCAGATCTTACATATTAATAAGTCACAACAACAGTATTGTTTCCACTCTTCTTACAGTCTATTTATCACAAGCAGCTGTAGAGATATTACCAAAACAAAATACATTACTCCCATTCCCCACTCCAACCCCAAGCCCTCCAGAGGCTTCCAGTTGCACAGAGAGCATTGCCTCCTCTTCTGAGTCCTCTCCTAATCCATCCAGCCTTGTTCCCTACGTTCCCACCATACTGGCCTTTCTGGTCAACTCTACTAAGCTCATCCCTACCTCAGGGCCTTTGCACTTGATGGCGGTCACTTGTCTGGAATACTCTCTCTGTGTTCACTCCTTACCATTGCGTATCAGCTCAAATAATATCCTTCTTTGAGAGGTCTTACCTGACACTTGCTCCCCTCACTTCATCTCACTAGAGTTCATTTTCTTTTGTAGCATCAATTGCTCTCTGAAATTTTTGTTTACTTGTTTATTGGCTGTTCATGAGGACAGTGCTTTGTCTTATTCCTAGAACAATGCCTGGTAGGTGCTCAATAAATAATTTTTAAAATTCTGTTGGTGAAAGAAATTTATATGGAATTAGCAGCTAAACGGCAAACTTCTAAAGACATTTTCTTCTGTGGGTATTGTAAGGGTAGCTGAGAGAAAGGAGAATAGACCCAAAGTCAGGCAAGCAAGTTTTATTAACCTGCCCGGCTGCTCCGGAACAATCAGAGGAGGCAGCCCCAAGCTTACAAAATGAGGGGTTTATATGGGGTGACAGGGGCATAAGGGAGTTTCAGGATTGAGATCATCTATCCGCTGGTAACAGGCACAGAGATAGTTTGTCAACTTGTAACAGATTTACAATACATCATCCTGTGACTTTTGTGGCGGCAGTTTTTAAAAAAAGAGAGAGAAGCCAGGATTTTTTACAGAATGTGTCAAACAGGAATTTACCAGTATGGATAACAAACATTTGTTTTCCCTGTCCTCCCTCCAGCTGCCCGACCTGCCCGGATGCTGTAATCAGGCTTTGCATCTTTGTAGCACGTCTGGCAGCCTTTCCGTGGCGCCTAGGTAGGGTTCAGAAATGCAGCTGCAGAGCAATCAGAGTCGGGGAAGGGGTCAGCTTAAGCCCAGTGGGTTTTCTGAAGTGGCTTGTCCCTAGCAGGTATGGAAAATTGTTGATCCTAGTTTCAACCTATGGGAGAAAAAGGAAGACAGCAAACAAGAGGCCACAATTTTTTTTTTGGTGGTTCAGATGGCCTATATACTCAAAGTCTAGTCTTTTAGTCCAGAAACTCTACATTCTCAGTCTTTGCTTGCTAACCTGAAAGTCTCATAGTGTTTTTCTGCCCATAGCTCTGTCTCAGCTTTGAACAGGAAATACTGGCTCACTTCTTCAAGGTGGCATGCACAGGGTTAACATGTGGGGGTGGCAGTTACCTTTGTTTTAGGGCTAATAAAATATTTACTCATGAAAGAGTCTTGGTCTCAGACTGGTTTCTACGATAGGCCAGTCCACCCCACCTCTTCTGTCTTTTGGAGAATAAACAGTGAGATTAGTCAGGGTTTCCTGGCAGACGTACTTTCCTAATTTGAGCTGTGCTCAGCAACTGGCCTTGTTGCAGAGACTAAGAAGGGAAAAGGCCCAGGCTTCTCAGCATCTTGCAAATCACCTTTCAGAGCCTGATGCCCCTGGGTTCCCACTCTGGTCACTTGGGCTCTCCTCTAAATATAATAACTTGGTTTCCCAAGGATGTGCATCCTGCTAGATACCTGTTTGTTTTCTTCAGAGGAGATCAATACACAAATGGCTTTTAGAGTAGCAACTTTACTGGGGTCAGGGATCGAAGTCTTTTATCAAGAGGGGTGTCATGTTTGTGGCTCTGACAACAATAAACCTTTGAGCTGTTTCTCCTCTTAGGTTAAAGTTCTTCCAGGAAGAGAGATTTATTTTTGTCATGCAGCATCTAAACATCCCATATCCTGGCTTGGATGCTATGCTGAATTAACACTTCGCATCTCTAATATGCCTGCCTTGGAAGTATCTCTATGTTCTATAGTGAAACACTGGATCCTTTCTTGTCTAGTTATTGCAGATTTTATTACTTTACTTACTCTAGAAATTGGAATCCCATTAAAATTTCAATAGAAGGCGTTTTCAATACAGAAAATGCATGCTAAGAAAAATTCAGGTTGGAGCTGACCATTATAAAGAAAAAAATAAAAGCCTGTGAGACAAATCTTCCCATATTCATATGACATAATTTGGGGGAGCCATGCCGAGTTCATGTTGCCATGGTATACTTGGGGTTAAGCTTTTATTCCATCACAAATCAGGTTTTAAATCAGATTCATCTAACTTTTGGACATTTTATTGGCATCAATCTGACTAAAGAAACAGTTAGGTTTCTAAAAATATCGCAAGATTGATTTGGCACGTAGGAGTAGAGGGTAATTGGAAACCAGCTAAAGATGCTATAGGATCAATTTCCGTATTCAGGAAGACCATCGCTTTGGAAAAAAACTTATCTGACTCTATATTGATCTCCTAAAAAAAGAATTAAATTTACATATTTGGTCACTGTGATTTCAGAGGTGTCAAGATAAGTTATGCGTATAAGCGGGTTGTTTCCACATGTTAAAACTCTGTCCAAGCAGCAAAAAAGTGCTTTGTGGGACTCAGAAGGCAGAGCTGGAACCTGCAGGAACACCTCTCCCAGCTATGAGACTGCCATCAGCTGGAATTCACTATGCCATTTAGAAAGACACTCCTAGCAGAAGGTCATGCTTCCTTGGGTCTTTTCTTAAATGTGACTTTATAAAGGCTGCCCTACTTTTTTCTTCCTTCACCCTGACCTCGGTGAAACTACAATAATCATCAGCAGAATTTCCACATGAGGAAGAAGAAGTAAAAGAGATTCTGGTGCTCAAGTTCCCACTGTGGGCCTGGTAAGCTGAAGGAAAGGGCATGTGGGCTGGGAGGCAGGGATGGAGATGACCACAAAGCCAGTTCCCCAAGGGGCTGCGGCCTGCCATCCACACTCTGACAGCCAGTTTGAGAACAAGCCCTGAAGAAGGATGTGACGAAGATGTTTTTTCTTTTTAGAGGAAGCAGGTGGGGAGGGTGAGGGAACTAACCTTTAGTGCACTTGGGGAACTTTAAAGACATACCTGAGCTCCACCTCCATAGACTCTGGTTCAGATGACTTGGAAAGGAACTCAGGCACAGGTATTTTAGAAAGTGTCTTAGGTTTGAACCAAAATAAACAATGTGAGTATTGGATTATAAAACCAATAAAATAAATACCCATGAGTCCATGATGATTTCAAGAAATAACTGAATAAATAAATAAATAAATAAATAAATGGAGGAGAAGAAACAGCATTTCATTACAGAAAAATTCCAATAAAGCCACGTAGAAAGAATGAGGGAATAGGAAACCATCCTCAGAATGGTGTGGTAACTGTCGCAGGCAAGACGCACCAGTGAAAGGAACATTAATGAGGATACAGATGAAGAGAAACAGGTTATCTATATAAACTTAAAGTATCTCTCCCCAGTTATTTCTTAATGACAAAGAGAAAAGCAATAGCTTTACAATGTGTAAACCTAGCAGACACCACCTTAACCAAGTGATTAAGGTTAACATTGCCAGTAATAGGACATATGGATGTCACATCTTTCCTGTTATGAGATTCTGAGAAGGGCCTATGGCTTCAGTGGTATCCTTCCCAGTAAAGCATAACCTCAATCTAGGCACAGGAAAATACCAGATAAACCCCAAGTGAGGAACATTCTATGAAATACCTGATTAGTACTCATCAAAAGTGTCATGAAAGGTAGGGAAAGCCTGAGGAACTACCATGGACTTAGAGACTAAGGACACCTGATAAATAAATGCAAAGGGAACCTGGATTCCTTCTTGGAGGAGATAAAGAACATTGTAGAGAAACTGGTAAAATCTCAATAATGACTGTAGTTTAGCTGAGCATTGTTCTGATGCTAATTTCTTGCTTTTGATAATTGGACTGTAGGAATGCAAATCTGCATTGGGGAAGCTGGATAAAGTACTATTTTTGCAACCTTTCTGTAACTCTAAAATTATTTAAAACAAAATAAACATATATTTTAAAGTAATATATATCATAAGAACAAAGCTTCTTAGAAGATTCTAATGGTAGAAAGCTCATTGAGATTCTAATATGCAACCAAGTTTGAGACAACTGATTTTCTAAGTACCTGCTCAGCCTCAGTGCTTAACTGATGTGACCTCCTTTACATCCCCATCAGCCCTCTGAGGCAATGATTGCAGCTCCCCTTTGATAGGAAGCATCTGACACCCAGGGATACAGTCCCCTGCCTGGCTTTCAGCACACAGCCTCACTTGTTTTCCATCCAACCTGCTGGGTTTGAGCATTTCAGCTCAGAGAACAGTGCTCAGCACTCCATGTATACTAACTGATTTAGTCCTCACAATAACCCTATAAGAGAGTGTCAGTCCATTTTGTATCGCTATAAAAGAATAACCAAGTCCTGGTATTTTATAAAGAAAAAAGGTTTATTTGGCTCATGATTCTGACGGCTGCTGGAAAAGTTCAAGATTGGGCATCTGGGAGAGTCTTGGGCTGCTTCCACTCAGAGCAGAAAGTGAAGGGAGTGGCATGTGCAGAGGTCACAAGGTGAGAGGGGGAGAAGCAAGGAGGAGAGGTGCCAGGCTCTTTTTAACAACTAGATCTGTTGGGGGCAAAGAGAGTGAGAACCCACTCA